TTCCTCATAGTAGAGAACTTAGATATTCATCAAAATATGAAGCCAAGGCAATAGAAATTTAGTTCTACTGACTGAAATCTCTTTAGAACCATGGCTTGTATCTTAAGGCCTCTGATTGGTAAGAGAGTAGTCTAAGAAACATTAGGTATGTAATAAACATTTGTAGAATAATAATAATGGCTTAATATGTAGCATTTGAGATGTGACAGAAGCATTTTTTAATGCTTTACTCAGAATATTTAAAAATGTTCAGTCTTCATGGGCTGCATGGTGGCCCAACAGTAAAATGTGATGCTCTGAGAGGGTGAACCACATGGGAAGGGCCCAGGTTCATGCCAGGGAGGCCTTCTGAGTACTCCAGGGATGTCTATGCCCATCATTTGGGGCTGTCTGGAGATGGCTCATGGATTCAAGACTCTGTTGGAGATGTTGCTCTGTTTCTTTATGTCTCTCTTGCTCATGGAAGAAATAAAGAAATAAAGTTTAAAATATTCAGACTTCAAGTTAATCTTATGAGTAGATACAATAATAATTCCATGTACAGACAAGTAAATTGAATTAAAGATGTACTTTTAATAAGGCTCTAATGTTACATTAACTAGATTTATAAAAATCCTGAGGACATTTGTTATTTTACTGATGTGAGTACTTTATTATAATAGCAGTTACTATAGCAGCTAGCACTTACTGAATTTCCTGAAGAATAGGTATGGTTCTAAGTGCTGTTTAGGTCTAAACTCAATACTCCCAATAGTCCTGTTATTAACCCTATTTTATAAACGGGGAAATTGAGTTAAAAGCTACACTTTTTAAAAAGAATTATTTATTTTATCTATTATTATTATTATTTTAATTTGAATAGAAAGAGACAGAGAAAGAGAAAGAAACAGTGAGAAAGTATGCTGCCAGGTCAAGGACTCGAACTGTGGTTGGCCATGTGGGAGTCCAGTTCCTTAACCACCATGCTACCTGCTGGCCCCAAAAGCTGCATTCCTATGCAGTTAAACTTTTTTCCATTGTTCTCAAGAATGTTTGAAAATAGAATACTATACATTCCATAATTATTATTCTATAATATTATAACTGTGGTTAAAATGGGTACAATTTATAGAGGGCTGGGCACTATTAAAAGTATTTTCATGTAATGACCCATTTGCACCTCACATAAATCTGAGAGAGAGGGATACCTTTATCATCATTTTATAAACGAGGAAATTGAGGCACAATAAAATTTGAGTAAATTGCCTAAAGTTATACAGAAAAGGATGACAGTGTTTAGACTAGTATTTGTCTTCTGGTTTGAATTCAGTAGACCTGTATTTAAAGTTTTAGATTAATTCATTCAACATTCATCTAAATAAGATGAATTGTAGAAATTTCTTTTTTTGAGAGAGAGAGAGGGTTTTTTTTTTGTTTTGCTATAGGGTGTGTGCACTCGCCAGAAAGACAGAAAGAGACAGAGAGAGAGAAAGCAAGAAATCACCCCCTGGGGGGATGGCCATACTACAATCCCTTCTCCTCCGTTCTCCTCTAGGGATCTTGGGCACACACGCACATGCACCTGGCGTGAGTTTAAGCCACCGAGTCTGGGACCTGAACCGCGGCTGATTACCAGCGACATAGCCATTACGCCAAATGCTGGCCCCAGAAACTTCTTGTATCTTCTGAAATGAGTAAAGAAACAAAGCCATCACTTATAATTCATTATAGATGATTGACTTACTTTAATATCTATACTATTTCTCTTGAACTATTTCAATACAAAATTTTACTTCTTTTAGAATTAAAGGGTTTATAAACTAGGTCCTCTGTGTGTGATCCAAACATACATTCGAATTACTGGGATTAAAGAGATGACCAATGTACTTTGAAAGGTATTTTTTTTTTGAGAGTTATTTTGCTATAGGGCGTGTGTGCTTGCCAGACAGACAGAGAGACAGAATGTGAGAAATCACCCCCCAGGGGGGATGGCCATGCTGCAATCCCTTCTCCTCCATTCTCCTCTTGGGATCTTGGGCACACATGCACACGCACCCGGCATGAGTTTTAAGCCACCGGGTCCGGGACGCGAACTGCGGTCGACTACATGGGAGTCCAGCGACATAGCCATTACACTAACTGCTGGTCCCTGAAAAGTAAAATTTAAAAAGGGGTTCTTAATGATCAGCAGATGGCATAGCAGTTATGTTGCTGGACTCCCACATGGCTAACTGCGCTTCAAGTCCTGGACCTGGTGGCTTGACGATAATGCATGAGTGCCCAAGATCCCAGAAGGAGACTGGAGAAGGACTGTGGCATGGCCACCTTCCTTGGGGGTAATTGTCCACTTTCCCTCTTACTGTGTTTGTCTGTCTCTCTCTAGCAAACAAATGTACCCTAAGGCAGGCAAAATCTTTTAAATAAATAAATAAATAAATAAATAATAAAAGGGGTTCCTTTCTCTCTCTTTTATACACACACACACACACACACACACACACACACACAATTATATTTCTCTCTCTTTTTTTTTAGAGGTTTTTGCTATAGGGTGCGTGCACTCGCCAGACAGACAGAGAGAGACAGAGACAGAAAGCGAGAAATCACCACCCAGGAGGGGATGGTCACGCCACAATCCCTTCTCCTCCATTCTCCTCTCAGGATCTTGGGCACGCATGCACATACGCCCAGCGTGAGTTCTAAGTCACCGGGTCTGGGATGCGAACCGCGGTCGACTACTTGGGAATCCAGCGACACAGCTATTACACTAACTGCTGGTTCCCATATATTTCTCTTTTAAGAACATAACTGTAGGGTCAGCCCATGGCATGGTGATTAAGACACTAGATCCCACATACCAATTGCATGGTTTGAGTCCCAGACCAGGTAGCTTGAAAAACATGCTGGATGCATGTGTGTGTGGCCAAAATCCTGAGAAAAGGCAGAAACAGAGAAAAAGGGATTGCAGAGTGACCATTCCATATGGAAGGTGCTTTCTTACTTTTCTGCTGTCATTTCCTGTCTATCTCTCTTTCTCTGGAGAGTACATATATCCACTGGCAAAATTTTAAAAATAAGTAAACTACCACCCGAGAATTTTTTGCCTTAAAATAATCTTTAGAGCTAGAGGGTAAAAATAAGGTTTAATGGAATTAAAACAAAGAAACATTGAATGATTGCATTAATTGCAGTAAATATAGAATTTTATTTTATGTTAAATCTTACTGTATAATCAGGCATTTAGGAAAACTGTTCAGTTTTCTAAAAATATTCACTAAATAAATTTTATTTAAAAAGATATAGCTATTGCCTTCAGTTTATTTACTGAAATGCTTTGAAGCCTTTTCTATGATGTATATAAAACAGAAGTGCATACACATCCTTCTTTGTATATTGGTATATTAATGCGTGAACATTTGAAAGCTTGCCGCTTCTTGGTGCATAATTATTCCATTTTTCTCCATACACAGACACCACACCTTGTTGTCAATAAATAATTCCACTTTAATGGCAAAGTAATAATTTAGACAGATACAGGGTGCACATTTGCAAAAAAATATATGCAAGCTGGTTTACAAGCTAGAGGAACAATAAACCAATAGAAAATACATCATCCAGTTAAGTCCATTAACACCAAGTACTTATTGGGGCTTTACAAAGACTACAAAACTTTTCAGATGATTTATTTCACTGTTTCTGCCTATTTACATGATATGTTACATCAAAAATGTACAAAATATAAAATGTATACAGACAAATGTTTCACAAACTAGTTTAAGTTGTAAACTAGGTGGACCTACTGGGATGTATTGCAGGAAATTCTGTTTATGCTCATGTTTGGACTGTATCTCTTAAAATGGCAGGGAAAGATTAGCAGTTTTCTTAGATCACATATTATACAAGGGCAACTAGTCACTCGTCCAGCTACATATATTGATGTTTCACAACAGATTTGATCCATGTTTGAGGCTTCAAAGTCAGGGTGACAATTCTGTGTGCATAAATTCAGTTCATATTTCCCTTGGGGCGATAGCACCATGTAAGGACCTTAGTGACACTTAGTGACACTCTGGAAACTGCACAGATGTCTTATGTTGTTGATGGTGTTCTATAGCAACTGACCCAGGGGTGGTCACAGAGAGTAGCACCAAAGACACATCCTAAAAGGAACACATGTTCACATGCATAGAACAAGTCTACACCATGGCCTAGCCCTTGGGTTTTACAAACCTGTCCTCTGTGTGTGGTGGTAACCTCTTTGATGGCTCTGATCAGTTTCCACGCACTCTCTTTAAAGCCTGCCACAACAGATGTACTTTCAGACAGTTTCACTTATCCCAAAATGGATTGGCTTCATGTACAGTTGTGAAGCATGCTCACTCTAGCACTGATAGCTCCTGCATAGTCATAACTGTGAATACAGGACACACACACTAGATCATAACAGCGTCGAGGGTTTGCATTCTGTATTTGTTTGCAATGTACAGGAAATCTCAGCAAGTGAAACACCTCTTAACACCAACAGGATAAAAGACAATTTTGTTTGTGTTTGTTTTCATTTGTGCAAGTTTTAAAAATGATTATTTACAATACCTACCCAGTAGACTGTGCAAATCTAACCTTCTTTTACAGTATAAACGCTTCCGCTTCCACAGTGACTTTACTGCTTCAGTGTTCTTTAATGCTGAATTTCTCATGTACAACAAGAGCAATCAAAACAACATGCATCCAAACTAATTTTAAAAAATAAAAATAAAAAAATTTTAAAAAAGGAAAAGAAGAGTAGGGAAGGAGAGCCAAATAGTTGTGCTCAGGCTGCATCTCGTGCTTCCAGCTCTGCTGGATAAGAATTCAAAATCTCCCACCTTCTGAAACTCATTTCTGCCTGATGGAATTTAGCCACATGCCTCAGCTTTTAAGCGACAGTCAAAGAGGGTTTCTGGGTTACATGTGTATTTTGGAGGATAGGCAAAGCCATCTATTCACTAGGTAAAAATTCTGAACTTTCTCTTATCCATTTCTTAAAAAAAAAAAAAAGAAAGAGATATAGAGATGAAGCTACTATGTTCATTGGTGTTGCTTGGTTGTAAATGAAAGGACAGTGGAAGTTATCCATGGTTTAGGATTTAAACCAATGGTTAAACTGTTGTAGAAATCTGTTTTAAGGCAGTGAGACAGCACCATAGGAAGTGTTCCTTCTTTCACTGAAAAGGCTCGAACAAATAAAGCCCTAAAAAAAGCCTTTTGTCAGTGTGGACTAATAATTGGTATAAAACTCTTGTTAAGGGAGTGGGCAGGTGGTTTAAAAAGACCACTGTGGTAAAAACAACCTTATAAAACCTGTGACTCGTACACTAAAAAGTTGGTGGAGCACGTCATGAGAACATGGCAGTTAGAATTAAATTGGCACTTCTCCAGTTTGCCACAGTAGTGTTTTCCTGGTGGTGGCACAATTCCATTTGTGCTTATGAGGACTGGCCTCTCGGATTTGTTTTGGAATGGGGTGAACACACAACACAAACACTACTGGAGCCCTGTGACCAGCACCTGTGTGGCACAAAGGGGGCTGGACGGATCAGAAGAATGGACCCTGCCTGGGGAAAAGAACCCCCGGGAGGAAACGAAAGGAAGGGACAAAAAGGTCTGCATTGTAAACTTGTAAAGAGAAAACAAAAACAAAACCAAAAAAAAAACAAAACCCAAAACACAGTAATAAAGTCCAGTTTGGCTATCCCATGTGCAATCTATTCAATTGCCCTCAGTTGTCATCAGGGTCCTTTCCAGTTGAGTAATGGAGCCTTCTAACACTCCACAGATATAAAAATGCCTGGAAATAAAATAAAGTGAAGCTCCCAATTCGATTTAGCATCTTGGCGGTTCAGACTTAGTTCTGCTGTCTCCTTGGAGACCACAACTCTGGGCCAGGCCCTTGACAGGGTGCTTTCATACTGGCAGTGGTTTAGTGAAAAATACCTTTTCTTTTAAACATTTTTTTTAAAAGCATAGTCTTTCCCCCTAACTTTTCTCACCCTCTAGAGGGTAGATTCAAGAGATGAATCCAAAATGTCTTCATGGTGGCTGGTGCTATCGCTGTCACAGCTTTGTGTGCCCGAGTAATTGGCTGCTTCTTGGAGTTTCATTAGCATATTCATCTGAAGGAAGAAAAAGAGACATCGATGCAGGCAGTGATGCATTGAGTAAGTCAGCCTCATAAAAAGCAAGGCCCAGAGCCACACAGAAGAGACGTCTCATCCCATCCAAGTGAAACAGGGAAACAATTTGAGTTTCACTCATTGCCCCTGTTCACTCATTGCCCTTGGCTCCTACACTGTTTCTCCCAAACATGACTACACCACCGAACCATAAGGACAAAATAGGGCCTTGAGAGCACTCTTTTATTTGGGGTAGTGAATGAGTGCTGCTCCAGCAGGGAGACTAGAAAGAAAACCGTATCACAGCTGGACATCTGGGTTCATCGCCGGAGCGTGCGCCAAGTTTCCCAGCTTTTTGGCTGGGAGAAGCAGAAAGCATTGAATGGCCACTGAAAGTCGTGAATGTTCATACACACACAGACGCGCACACAGGCGCACACATTCAGTCCCTTGAGAGAAGGAGGGGATGGAGTGGAATGAAGCCAGCTGCTGCACGCAAGCACACCATCTGCTGCTTAGGAGCTGACCTCGAGAGGAGGTGACTGAATGAAGTGGACCATGAGCACTGGCAGAGGGGGACGGGAAGAATCACTGTCAAGTCTCTGTTGTTGTTGAATTTCTGGCTAAACTATGATTGATATATTGCTGAAAACAAAACCCACCTTCCGGAACCACGGCGGCTGTCTCAGGTTTCTCAGGCTTATAGGAAAATGGCATTGTTTGTTCTAGTAAAAGCGACATATGCGTGCAAGCACCCAGGGAGAAAGGCAGCTCGCATGTTCATGTATTATGAAATAAAAGACAAGCACATCGTTTGGATTTGGATAGCTCTGCAGCTTCATGGTTAGAGATGGAGGTTATAGAAAAGATCGTTCAAAAACAAATTATGGATAAGTGTTTTAACGATTTTTACAAAGCACAGAAAAACTGGCAGGTGTCTTCAGGAGAGTGGTGGACTTGTTTTCTTATCAAGGGTTTCTACAAATTACGATAACCTTTTCATTGCCAAATACACACTCATTTTCATATTTTATAAAGTATTCGAAGTTGTTCTTCATTTTTTTTCCAACTTAGAGAAATAAAATCTAAGAAACAAACAAAGCCTTCATGATGGCAGGCTATGCATTCTTATGTGCCCAGTGTAAAGTGTGTGTTCAAAAAAATGCTTGCAAAATAAATAACAAATTCATTGGTTGTAGGATTGAACAAACTTTAACGTACATTTTGAATATGGAGTATAAATGATAGAATACACACACACATGCAATGAATAGTAAACTGGTGACCACCAATTTAAGAAGAATACCTACCTGACAGGCTAAAGCAGGGGCAGCCAGGTAGTGTGGTGGTTAAGGCTGGCCCTACATGGCTGACTACATGGTTCGAATATCAGACCCAGTAGCTTGGAAAATATGCTGGGCACATGTGCAAGCATTGCCCAAAATTCCAAAAGGAAAATGGAGGAGAAGGGATTGTGATGTAGCCATCACCGTGGGGGTGCTTTGTCACCTTCCCTCTCTGTCTCTCCCTCTCTGGCAGGCACATGCACCTTATAGTACAAACTTAAAAAAAAAAAAAAAAGGAGTTTATAGCATATTTTGAAGTCAATCTAATAGTCTTCAGGACCCTCTTGTACACCCCCCCCCACACACACACACCACTACCTTCATGCACACTTATATTTTCTTCCCCCTTTTAATTGTCAGTCCATCCCTCATAAGCAACTGGCTCTTATGTTCAAGCATTTGAGTGATGCTTATTTGTAAAACAGCAATGTTTTGAGCACTCTCCTGATTTACTAAGAGTTCAAATGGTAAATGAGATCTCTTCATAAGGGATGTGATTATATCCAAGTCACAAATGTTTGAAATAATTTGAAAGCTGAATAGCATGCAAGTTTTATGGTGCAGTGTCACCTAAAGTATTAAGTTTTGAACATGATACCACGTAGTAAGTACAGTCCATTGTAATATATACCAGATTTTGATTCCATATCAGCATTGCTTTGTGCATTCAGACCAAAATAGATTACAAGAGAGAGGTAAGGTCCAATTTTAATATTACTAGATCATAAATCCTCTACAAAAATGTATCTTTCCTCTTTTCTCCCATGCTTCTTCCCCATACCCATAGTCATAAATACAATGTTTACCATTTTTAACATGGGGAGGAGGAAAGACCCTGGTGCTTCTAAGCCTGCTTGTTTCCCAACCTCTCTCCTCTCTTTTTCAATCTGTCTTTTACTCTCTTACCAAAGGCCACTTTTAGAAACTGCAAAGCTAACTAGGTAAGTCCTTGTTCAAAAACCTTTGGAGGACTCTATTTTTTGTTTGTTTGTTCTTGTTTTAAAGTTTTTAACTTCTTGCAAAGATAAACAAGGCTTGGCATGATCTAGCAATTGTATACTTTTGTAACTATAATTCCTCCCACCAAATTATATATGGCTCCCTAAGCTCACTGTTTTTAATACACAGTTGTATGATATTTCACATGCCAATTTCTTTCATTTCAGATATTCTCCATCCAATCATTATCCAATTTCCTATTCATCTTTCAAAATCAAGGATCTCCTCTGAGAAGCTTTCTTCTAATTGTTGCCTAAACAAGCTTATAACTTCACTCACTAACTAACTTATTAATATTCTGTTTGTTGGTGATGAAGGCTCATCTTTTTTTTTTTTTTTTTGACAGAGTCAAGCTTTTGCAGTCCTCTTGGCCTAGGCCTCACAGCTGGGGCTAAAGTCAGGCACCACTGTGCCCAGCTCCATTTTAGACAGGGTCTTGCTATGTTGCCCAGGCAAACCTTAAACTCACAATCCCCTGTCTCAGCCACCACCACCCCCCACCGCAAGTTGCTGGGATTACAGGTGCATACCACTGCACCTGGCTTTTAATTTGGACGGGAATGGATCTGGGCCTCCCATGTGGTCCCAGCCTGTGAAGTACAGCATTGTCCTAGCACGATTCACTACAGCTAGAGCAGGGATGTATCCTTAATATAATTTGAGGTGTTCAAAATGTAATTCCTTTCAGATTTAAGATCAGATTTCTGACTTTAAATAATGAGTTTTCCTAAGATTTCTGATTTTGATTGGATTGCAAATATACTTTTACCTTCTGTCAGTTAATATTAATAGCAATATAGAGATGTGAAAGGAGAAAGAAAATATTTGTTATTTTATCAGAATGAGCCCGATCCAAAGACTTATTTTCAGATGAAGTCTTGTGCCATTCAGCATGTTAGATATCATAAGTCCCTCGTAAGATATTTAGTAGAGCAGTAGGTTAGAAACTAGAAATTTTTTTAGCCCAACTCTTAGGTTAGAATGGAAGACTCTGGCTCTCTGTCCATTCAAAAGACAAGAGAATTCAGAACCTAGAAAAAGAATGCTTAATGGAGTTAGCCAATCTACAGTTCAGGAATGGGAAAGTTGAGGGCATTTTCTGAGGGTACCATATCCTGCAGGCTAAAACTGAAAACATATCCTATAAAAACCTCCCCTTATCTTAAACATACATAATAATTCCAAAACACAGAGATACCCTTAGAACTAGAATTTATGAAAAATTTTAGATTAAATAATTCATTATATTCAGATGCTTCTATTTACTTTATTAAATTTGTATCATTTTGTCACTATTTAGCATATACTCACTATTATGTTGGATTCGAGCCATTTCCAGAGCCACCATTGATTTCTATCTGTGTATCATCTAAAGGGAAGGTCATGTTATACAAACATTCATCTGGGTGGCCAGCAGGTGGCATGGTGGTTGTGGCACTGGACTCCCACGTGATTGACTGTGGTTTGAGTCCCCAACCTGGAAACTAGAAAATCACGCTGGGCATGTATGCATGCCCAAAATCCCTACAGGAGGATGGAGTAGAAGTGAATGTGACATGGTGATTCCTCCTGGGGATAGTTTTCTCACATTTCCTCTCACTGTCTCTCTGTCTCTCTTACTGAAGCAAGCTTACACACCCTATGGCAAAATCTAAAACAAAACAAAACAAAAAATGTATATCTGGGTCCTTAAGGAATTTGTATCCTAGATCAGAAATCTTAACAGAGGATCCACAGACTTACGGAGAGTCTACATATGGATAGAAAAATCACATCAGTGATTTTCTGGAACTTCTGAAAAATTTCTCTGTGTGCATTTTGCTGGGGAGAGGATCTTGAGAGTTTATTAGGTTTTCCATGTATAATTCCCCAAATGCTAAGAACAATGATCTGAGGTGACAATGATGTGTGCATGTTAGGATTATTGGTAGTGAGTATTCCATCAAGTCGTTTTATGTTCCTGAGTACTTCTAGGGAAATTTTTTTTTAGATTTTTAATAATTTCCTTTGTGTTTGTTTTAGGTAACATAATGACATTTATTTTAGTATTTTCTCTTTCTTTATTGGCTGTGCAATTTAAGTTATAGACTGGTAAGCTGAAAACGTATTATGTTTGATACTAATACAGAAAGTAATCTATAAAACAGATACATAAAAAGTAGTCCTTTTTTCTAAAAATACCATGCACTTAATATTTTCAGAATATTCATACTTTGGAGTTTTGTTGATTTTAATCAAATTATTCTAGTATTTTAAAACCTAAATATAATGTAACTACTTGAGCAAAGGAGGGAGATTAACTTCTCTTTGACTTCAAATCAGTTTATCCCTTCTTTACTATAGGCAATAGAAGATGAATTTTAAATGTAGTCCAGCTTGTTGATACATCTAAATATTCTTTAGTGTTTTAAGAATATTTTAGATTATACTCTTTTTCTAAATTTAAGAATAAAATTCAGTTTTCTTTGAAATACCTATGAATTGAATCGTGACATTTTAAATATTGCTTTAATTATTTACACATTTAATGGATAGAAAAATTATGGTCAAAGAAGTCAGCCTCATTTCAGTGTTGTTTGATTATGTTTAAACATAAAAATATGGTTTGGATTTTAAGAATTTCATCCAGTGCAAGTAAGCCAAAGGTAATACACGTAAAACTATGTACACATATCAGGACAGTCCCAAATATTACCTAGGATAACTAATATCTTTGAGATTAATGAGTAAATACCCATGACCATATACTGTAGTAATCAAGATTACAGAGGAAGAACCAAATATCGTCTTCTTACCAGGGGATCTCCTTCTGTGTCAGCCTGTGCAATGTGCTTTGAGGTTGTGGCTTCCTTAGTGGATGTGCAGCCCTCATACCCAACATCTTCTGGCCGCAACTGAAGTAATGCTGGGCCCTCCTGAGACAGAGACACTGAGCTCCATGGGTATGTGTCAAGTACCCATTTGGAGGGATCTTCCCATGGTGCACGTTTCCCGTACATCTAAGAGCCGAGCATATATATAGCACATATAAGATGCATTTCTACACAGTAGAAAAAAATGCCCTCTAATTAAAATGCCCTTTTGAACCTGGAGTTCTTATGGGACTTTCAAGGGAATAGTGTTCGTACACAATTTTCCATGCATTAAATATATATCTGTCTACATAACTTACTTTAAACTTAAAAGCTTGGCAAAATAAAACTAAAAACCTAGGAAAGATTATCAATATTTTAGAGAGAATATGAAGGATGTATATTTTAAATATATGTAGAAATGACGGCTAACATTTCTCTTTTCCTTAGAGAGATTTTTGCTCTTGGGTGCACTCTCTGGAGAGACAAATAAAAAATTATAATAATAAATTAAATTAAATTTAAAAAGAATAAACAGGAGACCAGCAGTTAGCATAATGGTTACATTGCTGGACTCCCATGTGGTCAACTATGGTCTGAGTTCTGGACCCAGCATCTTAAAATTCATATAGGGAATGTGTGTGCATGCCCAAAATCCTGAGAGAAGAATGGGGGAGAAGGGATTGCAGTGTAGATTCCTGGGGGATAATTTCTTGCTTTCTGTCTTCCTGTTCTCTGCTGAGAGCATGTACCCTATAGCAAAAATATTTCTTTCTGCAAAATAGAATAAACAGAAGGTTGGTTTCAGGGCTGCCCAATGTAAGGTTGATGAGACGAAATGATGCTAAATGAACCTATCACAAATAAAAAGGCCAACAAATTGGGCCAGGTAGTCGGATAGAAATAAGACTATGCTCTACAAGGCTGGATCCTCAAGAGAATGTCTGGGTTTGTGTCTGGAGGTCTCCCTGTACATGCCAGGCACACATGTATCCTTGACCAGGGCTCCGTTAAGGTTGGGGGTGGATCATGGTATGAGGACTCTGTTGGAAGAAACTGTTTCTCTATTTCTCTCCTCTCTGTTTTGTTCTTGCTAACTGAAGAAGTAAATAAGCTTAAATAAAACTCACAGAAAACAAAAGGACAACTCACTGCCTCAGAATTCAGAGTACTCCCTCAAAAATACTAAAGGATCTTGCAAATGATGTTAAAGAACTTCAAACAATGAAGCATACACAAACATGGAACCCACAAGCAAACACAATTAGTTAGAAATTATGTGATATGAGTATAAAAGTTCAAGGCTCATGTAAACATGGCTGTGTCATAGGTTGTAGAACTGTGCCTTTAACTGGCCATCTAATCAGAAGTGTCTACAATACTCATGATAACAAACGTGTCCTTAAATGTGTGCTTGTTGGAAAAACCGTGTTTGCTCTTATATACATCAGTTCTCAGAAGAGACCAAAGCACACTAACTAGCTGCTCTTTGAAACTCTACTGCATATTCATATAATCATGCCTTTAGTTTTCTGCATATTCAGGAACATTTTTCTTTGCTTTTAAAAGAATTATTTTTACCTTTTTTAAAAGCAGTAGTGAAAATATGAAAATTGCATACTATACCTGAAGACCTTCTCTCACTGCCTCCAGAATATAAGGTACCAAAGAATAGTTCCAGAGATCCATGAACCACACTCTAGAACCTTCTACATCCATGGGGCAAGGAAGGAAAAGTCGGGGACCTAAGAAGAAATAAACAAACATTTTAAAGAAGCATTATATTTAGCAGTATAAATATATATTTAAACACTATTTTAGGAAGCTAAGTATATGTATTTTGTGAGATTCTTAAGAAATTATAATTTTGTCCAGTTAAATTATTATTAAAATGGATTTACTAAAGATCCAATCTCCTGGACTCTCTTTTCTTTTCAGAACAAAGTATTACTCTAAAAGCACAATATATTAGAGTTAGGAGAAATTTAGATGTCATAATCCAGTCAACCTGCTCCATTTCACAAACTATAAAGCTGTGATAAAATGAATAGTTGAATATCAAATGTCATGTTTTACAGAATTGGGAATCAGCATTGGTATTCTGATCATAATGCGGAATAATTCTTTCTAATCGACACTGATCCTGTACAGAGTACTTTTCTATGATTCCTGATAGGAAAAGTACTTATGCACAAGCAACTTCAGAAGGAATATAAAAACATCTTTATGCAAACTGAAAAGAAAAAAAGATTCAAACACTTTTGTCTTTGTGAGAAGAAAAAAAAGAAACATAGATAAGTTTAATGATCTACAAAACATAAATGATCTCTAAAATCTGTTCTTACAATCATCTATTTTTAAGTTTATTCATTTATTTTCTCTGAGAGAAAGAGAGAACATCACCAACAGGGTTTTGATGCTGTGATCCACCTCCCAGCTTCAGCCAGCCATGAGTCAATGGGCACTCACCTACCAGTCATATACAGGGAGGTCTTCGGATGTGAATTTCGAACTGTGCTTATCTCACAGCCATATTTGATATGAGCTCCTAGCTAAAATTTGCTTGTAGCATAAAAAGTACCCTAAACAAATACTATTTATTTCAAATAGTTATCTGATATTTAGATTTTTGTCTATCTTAAATTTATTTTTCTCAATAACATTTTAGTAAACCAGAATTGTCAGACAAAATGAATATAATTGGAAATACATAGCTTAGAAAAATGCACATTTTCAGAAGCATATAGAAACTAAGCTTAGATCCTTTAAAGCTTGAAAAAACATTAGGTTTGCTTGTTTTTTTCTACTATCCAATCTGGTCATCTTAACCAAGTACTCTTCGTTCTTAAGAAATGGTACATTGTAATTTTTGGAACTCACCAATAGTAACATCAGAAGAACTATGTGTTTCCAAAAAACTGTTGAGGTGATGCCACGTCTTAGGAATCCAGTCTATAATTTTGACTAGGTCGTTATTGCGTATATTCCTTTCAATTTCTATCTCTATCAGTTTTCTTCGAAGATATCTACCTAAAAAGCCTTTCACTGGTTCTGTATGGTTTGCACATAATACCCACCTACAGAAGGAAAAAAATGGAAATTTTTATATAAATTTTAAGTCCACAAGGACTCCTTCTCCAATATAAAGTAACACTACTTCTATTCGAATTATTGAGCATGCATTTTAAATTATTTTTAATTTCTTACATTTAATCACTGTACATTACTTTGCTAGTAAGCCAAATTTACCCAATATGAATACACTTCACACCAGTCCTGTTGAGGATACTAAACACATTATCATCAATTGATAACCCACTTCTATGTCCCATAAATGTCCTGCTTCTCTATTTTCCTTTATTTTTAAGAACCCTTTTATTTCTTTCATATGAGCGAGAGATCTTAACAGAGTCCCAGGATTTCCTACCCAGATTTCTAGCCAACCAGGATTATGGACATGTACATGTGCTCATGTAAATAGGTCAAGCTGGGATATGAACCCTCAGTCCCCCTATGTCTTCCAACACTGCAGGGTGGTGTCCCACAGCCTGGGCACAGGCCACATTTTAATGATCAAAGTGGTTAGGCAGTCCATTAGCATTAGAACTCTAATATAGCTAACTCTACTTTTTTTGAGCTAACAAGAAGTTCATGTGCGTCAGAAGGGAGTGGGAGTCTACAGGCTGAGTACTCTTCTGTAGGAAAATCGTGTATCCTGAAACAAGAATATTCTTCACAATCCTCACTTAGAAGCACAGAGCTCTACTTTAGCCAGAGACATAATGAACATGAAAAACATTTCTTTTTCCTTCTGTTTGTTTGTTTTTAAGAAACACTTCTGATTATAGGTTGAGAATCACAAAAATCTCTGCTTGAGAAAGAGTCTCAGAAGAAGTGAAAATTATTTTTATACCATAGGTCACCACTGGCAGGATCTGTCAACAACCACCAAAATCAACAGAAAGAAACAATATAAAACAAAAAAGTTCAACTTCTCTTTACCTGAAATTGTGATGCAGCTCTAGATTTGGTGATGAAGAAACTCCCTGATTCATTGTTCCAATAATATATGGACTAGGAAAAACAAAGAGTAGAGAATTGATGTACTGGAGGGGAAAGTGATTAATTCATTAAAATTGTTTCAGAAAACAAGATGAATATGGATTATTTCACTTTAATATTAAGCTTCAAAGGATCATTTTATAATGTGAGGTTAAAAACAACAAAGATCAAAAGGCTAGAAATGAATATTTGGGATTTTAATTTCAGCTCTGGTATTGGGCAAAGAGTTTTCTTTTTTCTGAGCCTGAGTCAAGATGAAGAGTAAAGAATTTAGATAGAATAATCATGATAGTCTGGTCTGGTCCTACTAAAACATTTTTAGTTCTTATGCTTATAATTGTATATTTTTCCTATTTTGATATGCTATAGTTATTTCCAAGGTTCTTAATAACACGAGAAGATTTATACTCTTCTTTTAATCCTTATTTTATGCTTATGTTTATAACATTTAAAAAATCCATAATACAGATTAATGAATTAATTGGGATATTTACCACCATTAAAACTAATATTATGTATACTGATGTTCTGATAGTTACTTTTTTAAAAAAATATTATGATACAATTATTTTTTAGTGGGTTTTCAGATTTGTTTGTGTCCTACTTTAACTTTCTCTTTTATTGTTAAGTAGCTGAAAATTAAATTCATTTATATATA